CAGAGCTGCTGCACCTCCTTGTCGTGCTCAGCCACATGCCTGCCAGGGACAGCAAGGCCAGGGGGGTGGTCAGACCCTGCTGCAGTGGGTGCAGGTCCCTGGGACCCCACATTGCCCACAGGAGCTGCGGGCTGCAGCCAGGTTTGCCCGGAAGGGTTCACCCAGCAAGGACATGTCCAGCAGTCTAAGTCCGGCACTTTTGCCATCCCGCGTGTGACTGTAGAGGGAGCCCGACCCCAAACGTCGGTTCCCAGTGAAACCTCTGCTCCAGCCACTGATGGAGGTGCTGAAAGCACCCAGGTTTCTCCCTCCTTGGGTGCATCTCCATGGCTGGGGTGGGCAGGGGTCCCCATCCTTCCCATCCCGTCCCTCTCCACTGCCCTGGGGTGACTCACTTGTTCAGGGTCACCTCCAAAGCCTCCTTCTTGCTCCTGGCTTCTTGGATGCGGTGCCTCATCTTGGCCAGAAAGTCCTCCAGGTTGCCCAGGAGCTGGGGTTCGTCCTGCCGGAGCTTCACCCAAAGCTGCCAGATCTCCTGTCTGCAGGGAGAGGGGTGTTTTGTGGTGAGCATCCCTCCAGAACCCCCCAAAGCCAGGTCAGCTATGGGATCCCGGGTCATTCAGCTCACACCGTTCATGAGGCGTGGTCCTGGGGGACAGATGAGCATTGGGGTGACCGTGATCCTGTCCCCCTGCTCTGCGCTTGGGGCAAAGGCACCTCAAGCCGTTTCTGGGCTCACTGCCTACATGGGGACCAAATGAGGGGGAATACCCTGCCCTGCCCCAAGCCTTTCCCCCTAGGGCAGCTCTGCCCCATCCTGCAGGACACCCATGGGTGCTAAACAGGGTGGCTTACTCTTCAGAGACGTTGTCCGTGCCCAGCTGGCCCATGAAGGCAGCAAAACGTCGGGCCCAAATGAGGGGGAATACCCTGCCCTGCCCCAAGCCTTTCCCCCTAGGGCAGCTCTGCCCCATCCTGCAGGACACCCATGGGTGCTAAACAGGGTGGCTTACTCTTCAGAGACGTTGTCCGTGCCCAGCTGGCCCATGAAGGCAGCAAAGCGTCTCCGCTCCTCGCTGTCTGTCCCCTCCAACGCTGGGCTGGGGAGGACCAAGCGGACCCTCCGGGATGCCGTTTTCCGCCTGCGGTGGTCCCTGGCAGCTTTTTGGGAGCTCAGGAACTGCCCTGCCGACAGATACCCCAAACCCTCAGTGCCCGGCCGGGGCGACCGCAAAGCCCAAACCCCAACACTTCCCACCCTATGGCTTTGACAAGCTGCTTCGGCACGGTAGGACCCCTCACCAGGCCAGCCATGGGCTGAGACCCGGGCATGGGGACACTTTTTGGGCCATCGTGTACCACCCAGCCAGGGGAGTGTTTCAGGTCCCCCCCGGGAAAGCGCTGGGGCCGTGTCCAGGATCAGCCCGGGATGCTTGGAGGCAGCGTGCCGGCACTTACAGAGCCCAGCAGTGAACTCCTCGGTGCTTAACCGCCCGGTGCCGGCAGCATCCAGCCCATCGAAGACGAGCTCCAGCTCCTCCATGCTGCACGGGAAATCTTCCTCCTGCAATTTCTAAGAACAAAACAAATCAGGGGAAAAACCTACCCATCATCCAGTCTCCAGCGACCCCGGTGGCATTTGAGCCGAGAAGACATCTCCATCCCTT